GAGCCCTGGAATTTCCCCCCCCCGCGTGGATTTCCCCACGCTCTCTGCCCCCCCCTCCTTTTCCTCCCTCAATGGTTCCTCCCAGCCCGACGTCACTTCCGCCCTCCCCCGGCCGGAAGCGGCGACCCCGCGGCGCGCGGGGGGCGGGGCCTCTTTGCGGCGCGGGCGGCGGCCATGGCGGAGCCGCGGGTGCGGGCCGGGGGCGGCGCGGCCGGGCCGGGGGGCTCGGGAGGGCTCGGGAGGGCTCGGGGAGGCTCGGGGAGGGAACCGGGCAGCCAGGGAACCGCGGGGAACCGCGGGCGGGCGGCGGGAGGAGCGCGGGGCGCGGCCGCGTGCAGCGGCCTGAGGGCGCGGGGCCTGGGCGCGGTGAGGCCTGGGCGCGGTGAGGGCCGGGGTTGGTCCCGGTGAGGGCTGGGGGCTGTCCCGGTGAGCGCTGGGGGCTGTCCCGGTGAGGGCTCGGGGCCGGTGGGACCCGGGATTGGTCCCGGTGCCGGTCCCGATGGGTCCCGGTGTCGCTCCCGGTGCGGGCTCGGGCCTGGTCACGGTGAGGGCCGGGGTTGGTCCCGGTGAGGGCTGGGGGCTGTCCCGGTGCGGCCCGGTGCCGGTGGGACCCGGTGTCGCTCCCGGTGGGTCCCGGTACCGGTCCCGGTGCCGGTCCCGGTGTCGCTCCCGGTGGGTCCCGGTACCGGTCCCGGTGTCGCTCCCGGTGCCGGTCCCGGTGCCGGTCCCGGGGCTCACCGGCGCTCCCCTCGCCGCAGGTTCTGGTGATCGATGGCCGCGGGCACCTCCTGGGGCGGCTGGCGGCGATCGTGGCCAAGCAGGTGCTGCTCGGTGAGTGCCGGGGGAGGCGGGAACGAACCGGGAATGAACCGGGAACGAACCGGGAGCGAGCCCGGCCCCGCGCCGTGATGAGCCGCTGTCGGCTGTCGAGTTTGGCGACAATGAGAGGCGCCTCCATGCACTACCAGCTGAGCGCGGGGGAAAACCTGGGATACCGGGAACGAAAACGGGATAAAACGGGGAAAAAACGGGGAGTAACGGGCCCGGCCGCGTCCCCAGGGCGCCGCGTGGTCGTGGTGCGCTGCGAGGGCATCAACATCTCCGGGAACTTCTACAGGAACAAACGTGAGTGCGGGAACGGCACTTCGGGGGGATCCGGGGTTTGGGGGGAATCACGGGTTTTGGGGGGAAATTTCGGGTTTTGGGAGAGAAATCTCAGATTTTGGGAGAGAAATCCCGGGTTTTGGGAGAGAAATCCCGGATTTAGGGAGGGAAATAATGGATTTGGGGGGGGGAATCCCAGGGTTTGGGGGAAAATCCTGGATTTTGGGGGAAAATCCTGGGTTTTGGGGAGGGAAATGCCGGATTTTGGGAGAGAAATAATGGATTTGGGGGGGGGAAATCCCGGATTTTGGGAAGGAAATGCCGGATTTTGGGAGGAATCTCACAAATTTTGGGAGGGAAATCCCGGATTTTGGGAAGGAAATGCCGGATTTTGGGAGGAATCTCACAGATTTTGGGGGGAAATCCCGGATTTTGGGGGGAAATGCCGGGTTTTGGGGGCGGTTCCGGGGCTGAGTCCTGGGAAGGTTCCAGAAGGTTCCGGCAGGGCTCTCCCGGGCTGCACGTGGGGTCTGGGGGCTTTGGGCTGCCCCCCTCCCTTTGGGGGTTCCCAAACCCCTCCCTGAGGGGTCCTGCCCCATTTCTAAAGGAATTCAGCCTTGGATTTCATGGATTCTGCCCCATTTTGGATGAATTCTTCCCCTTTTTTATCCATTTTGCCCCATTTTTGGTGTTTCCTGCCCGTTTTTGGTGTTTTCTGTCCCATTTCCGATTATTCTGCCCCGTTTTTTTATCAATTTCCCGCATTTTTTATGAATTCTCCCCATTCTTTATCAATTTTCCCCATTTTTGGTGTTTTTTTGCCCAATTCCTGATGATTCTGCCCCATTTTTTATAATTTTTCCTCATTTTTGATGTTTTTGCCCCATTTTTGTTATTTTTGCCCCATTTTTTGTGTTTTCTGCCCCATTTTTGGTGTTTCCTGCCCCATTTTGATGTTTCCTGCCCCGTTTTTTATGGATTTTGCCCCATTTCTGATGTTTCTGCCCTGTTTTGGTGTTTCCTGCCCCGTTTTTACCGATTTTTCCCCATTTTGCTGTTTCCTGCCCCGTTTTTACCGATTTTTTTCCCGTTTTGGTGTTTTCTGCCCCATTTTTTATGGATTTTGCCC